AAACTATAGTCCGCCCCTCCAACGGTCTGAGGGACAGTGAACTGGCCCCTTGTTTTAAAAGTTTGAGGACCCCTGGGCTAGACCAACGAGGATGGATGGGAACTTTCTGAGCTGGGAGACTCAACCCATCAGAAGGAGGCTTAGAAAGAGCTGGCTTGAGTGTCAGGTGGGCCTGACAACAATGCCCTGCAGGGAGCCTTTAGGATTTACCTGCCAGGTGCTCTTAGAAGGCTCAGGGGTAGTAGCAGGGCAGCCAGCACGCGACCCCTTCCCATACCCAATAACCAGGATCTGGAGAGGTGCCATCTGCAGTGGAGGGACAGTTGTTACACTGATGCAGGGGTGAGATGTTGGGCCCTGCCTTGAACAAGGGCTGCTGGGAAGACGGAGGAAGGGGCAGGTTCAGTTGCAGCTCTGGTCTACTCACTCTTGTCTTATTGCCTTACATTTTCCTTGCTGTTTCTTTAGTACCTCCCTGTTTGTCCCTGAGCTAGATCCTTCCATGAAGCCTCTGTTGACCATTCCCACTCCTACAGGTCATATCTTCATTTGAACTTGTTTAGTCACTCATATTTGTTCATGTTTTCATTTATTCACCCACCCTGAGACTCATCTTTCTGTCAATTATCTATCCACTCACTGAAAAAAATTTTTTTTTCTTTTTTAAGTCAGGGTCTTACTCTGTCACCCAGGCTGGAGTGCAGTGGCATAATCACGGCTCACTGCAGCTTTGACCTTCTAGACTCAGGTGATCCTTCTTTGTCATCCTTCCAAGTAGCTGGGACTACAGGCATGTACTACCACACCTGCTAATTTTTTTTATTTTTTTGTAGAGATGAGATCTTGCTATGTTGCCCAGGCTGGCCATTCAACAAATATTTATCTAGCATCTACCATGGGCCAAGCACTATTCTAGGCACTCAGGGCCCAGCAGTGAACAAGAAACCTCTATCCTTATGATGCTTATAGTTTAGCAGGGAAGACAATAAAGGCAAATCCACTTTAATAAAAGCACAGTGTAATTGCAGGCAGTGCTGTGTTCCTTGCAGAAAAGTAAAGCAGGGTGAACATGAAACTGATGATCAGGAAAGACCTCTGAGGAGGCAACAAATAGCAGGGACCTGAGTAAAATGTAGGAGAAAGTCACATGAAACACCAGAGAAGGGCCTTGCAGTCAGAGGGAACAAGTGCAAAGATCCTGCATCATTATGCTTAGCGTGGTGGGAAAACAAGAAGGTCTGTATAGCTGGAGCTGAGGGAAGGAGGTGACAGGCAGTGGGATACAAGCTTGGAAAAGTCAAGAGAGGCCAGATGGAGGAGAGCTTGGAGGCAAGGGCTCTAGGTTTTATTCTACATGGATGGAAAGATAAGGAGTAACGGCGTCTGATTTTTATTTCTTTGTGTGTTTGTTTTTATACTTTTCATTGGATATCTAATGCACAAAATCACAGAATTGGCTTAATAATTCTTGCATGGTGATCCACTCTCATTGGTTCATGCATGGCGATTACTCAACTAAATATGGAACTACCATGTCAGCAATGCCACTGCTGGGTATATATCCCAAGGAAGTGAAATCAGTATGTTGAAGAGGTATCTGCACTTCCATGTTTATTACAGTACTATTCTCAATAGCCAAAATATAGAATTAAACTAGGTGTCCATCAATGAATAAACTGACTTAAAATATGTGGTGTATATATACACAATGAAATACTATTTAGCTATACAAAAAAAAGAAAAGAAAAGAAAAGAAATCCTGGCTGGGCACAGTGGCTCACACCTGTAATCTCAGCACTTTAGGAGGCTAAGACAGGAGAATTGCTTGAGCCCAGGTGTTCAAGACCAGCCTGGGCAACGTTAGCAAGACCCATTCTTTATATTTTTTAAGTTAAAAAAAAAAAAATATATATATATATATATGTATAATGAAATCCTGTCATTTGTGGCAACATGGATAAGCTGGAGGACACTATGTTACATAAAATAAGCCAGGCACAGAATGATAAAT